AGACTTGAGATATGAGCTTCGGTCGCTCTGTTTGGCCCAACTCCATGAGGATGTCGAGGACATTGGCGCCACCAGCAGTGCGGCTCAGGAGACGTCCTTCAGACAAGGATCATCAGCAATGCGGAGGTCATGAGTCATTGGGATTTGTGGGAAAGTCCCACTCAAGTTGAGTTAGACAATCTATTTACCGATAAGCATGCCCTTCAACATTCGACGCAGGGAGAGCTAGATCAACTTCACAAGCAAGGCTTTCGTGTTGTCCTGATACCGAGTAAGGCGATATATACTGTTAAAGCTCCGTGCGGTAGAAGAAAATGTAGGCTGGTAGCATGCGGAAATTTCTTGAGCAGTAGCGAAAGCAGTAAACAAGAGCATAAACAGGTTGTCTACACAGCTAGCATTACAATCGAGTCGTTGAGAACGGCACTCGCATTCAGCACCAGGCGAAGCCACACATTGATCACATTGGACATAAAGGCAGCGTTTCTGAATGCTCATCTGTTGCCTCGGGATAGACAGGCGGCGCAAGCTGCAGCGGGGAAGAGTGACCAAAGCACGGCACAGACATCAACAGACAATGAGGAATCGCAAACTCATCATCGTGAGATCGTTGCACTTATACCGCCGCGTATGCTTATCACGAAGGGAGTCTTCAAGCCTTATGACCGGCTTATCGTGAGAAAAGCAGTGTATGGTCTTGACCAATCACCGAGAGACTGGTCATTGCAGCGTGATGAGCAGCTCAAAGCGCTGCAGATACAGTGCGATGGACGCACGTACCGATTGTTTCAGTCCTTCGCAGAAGATTCGATTTGGCTTGTTGCTACATCAGAGCCTCGACGAGGGTACGCAGCATCGCTTCACACGGAGGTTGAGGATTCGATAGCCGGTTGGATAGCGGTTTATGTAGATGACCTTCTAATCGGAGCGGAAGCTTTACTTGCAAGGGCGATTGTTGCGGCGATCATGGCTTGTTGGGAGTGCTCGAGCCCGCAGGAAGTGGGAGACACCGAAGAATCTTCGGTGCGGTTTTTAGGGATAGATCTTCGGTGGGATGGGTGTGGTAATTTGTTATTGGGTCAGAAGGCCTATGTGCAGGAGCTTGAAGCACGATACAAAACCGAGCTAGCCCAGTATGGAAAACCAACCACCCCAATGCCTCCGAGTTTCGACGAGGACGCCGAGGAAGAGGGAGCATCCATCACGGACCTTAGGAGGACTCAGGCCCTTCTAGGAGAAGTTCTTTGGACTAGCATTCGAACTAGACCAGATATATCATTTGTGGTGTCCAAGTTAGCGTCTCGAATAGGCAAGGCCCCGGTTGCCACCTACAAAGCAGGGCTTCATGTCTTAGCTTATCTCGCTGCTACTCGGGATTTTGTTCTCACGTATTGGCGCGAGAACCGAGATGTGTGGGTAAACTACAAGCGGTACCCAGACCCCGTAGGACTTATTGAAGGATTTGGAGACGCATCTTTTGCACCAGAAGCAAAGAGGTCCATGCAATGCGTACAAGTCTACGCGGAAGGAGCTGTGGTAGCATTGGCTGTGTCGCGCCAAGCGTTCATGGCGCAGTCATCGTGTGAGGCTGAGATGATAGCATTGATGGATCTTGCTAACTACACCATATCTACCGCGTACTTGCTAGATGAGTTACTTCAGTATGGCACGAAGAAGCAGATTTTGGGCGACAACGTCGCCGCACTTGCTATCTACGGTGGAACAGCAGCACATTGGCGAACTAGACACTTGCGCATCCGCGCGAGGGCCTTTGCCGAGAAATACAGCGAGTCCTTGTTACCAGCGCATCACATTGCAGGGGAATGGAATCCTGCAGATCTTGGCACCAAAGGCTTAGGAGCTGCTAGACACTGGAAGCTGTGCGATTTGGTTGGACTCAGAAGGCCATCCGAAGAGATCAAGAACTCCACGAGCTCAGGTTCGAAATTTCCTGCTTTGAAAGAATGCCTTCAAGCAGTAGTCCTTGCGTGCTGTTTGTGCTGCGTTAAGGCCCAACCCCAACATGCCGGTATCACAGATTACACCTTGTGTTTCCTCATGGCTTTGATCATGATCTGCACGCTAGCTTTGTGCAAAGCTGGCCAAGTGGTGATTCGGAGGTTTAGGTGTTTCTGTAGAGCACGTAGACCACTGCTGAGGGAGCCGGAGTCTGAGAGTGAGGGTGAGAGTGACGGTGAGAGAAGGGTTGAGAGAGAGCCCGATCAGGAAGATGAGTTCGCAGAAGCGTCTCAGCACCGGGCACGGCACGGCATGAGACGACAAGAAGAAGAGGAGAGCGCGAGAGAAATCGGCAATGCTGCTTCAGAACTTCGGCGAAGGGCAGCAAGGGTACCCGAACCGGACTTTGATAATCCTGCTGCACTGATTCTCCCTCGAGCTGCGGCGCAAGTCGCCGAAACCAGAGACGCAGTTCAGCTCTTTTGTTACGCAGATGATGTCGTGATCGTAGGTCCAGCTGAACAGGTGGAAGCGTTCAGAGGGGTGTTTGAGTTGAGTGGTAATGGCCACGCCAATCCGCCAGAGCCCCAGGGAAATGACCCTGATCGTGCAGCGCCTAGACCACGTGTCAGGGTGATGGATTACAATGAGGTTCGGGCGGAGATCATAAGGCAAGAGGCGGACCGATTGCTCCTAAACTTCCCTCCGGGACCCTCCGATTGCAATTAATCCCACATGGGGCTCTCCTCCGATACAGCCGACAGTGCGGATGATTCGCCACACAGGGGGAGCGCGTGAGGTCAGATGCTCAGAACCTCATGCACGAGATGCCTGGCATTTTGCTGTGTGTGGCGAGTTTGGTTGTATAGTATATTGTATAGTTGTATGGCTCAATATGCCTATGTCCGAGAGACAGAGGCGCACCTGTAAAGAGAAACGCCAACAGTAACCAGTGACAGACGACAGACTTGTGTAAGTGAGTGTACAGATCATCCGAGCTATGGAAAATTGATTCTTCTGACTGTACCGGCTATCGCTTCGGTGATTCCTCTGACGGTACCGGCTATCGCTTCAGTGATTCTGCGTAGTGCTGGCTATCGCGTCCGCGATTGTGATTGTGATTCTCACGACTGTAGCTGCTATCGTATTAACAATCACCTCCGGTGATTCTCACGGAGATTCACCTTGTCAAAGCTACTAATTTTCAAGCTACGTGGGGAATTGCTGAAACATGCATCCGGCAGCTTTGCAGGTGAGATAAGAGCATTAAGGCCCCAGGAGCACTGCTAAGGAGGGATGAGGACAGTGTTGGGCCGAAGCGACTGTTTGGGATGCTATTCGTAGTTCGAAATCTTTCGACGCCTTGAGGCTCGCACTTTCTAGCCTGTCTAGCTGCCTGCCATGCTGATCATGACTCATAAGCACGAATATCAATGTCGGCCCCGGGTTTGACGAAAAATGACTCAGCACCCTTCGAGCTGATCTTCGCAGACGAGGCACCACTTAATTAATTATGCAACCCCACCCAGGACACGAAGGGATGCACGCGGCAGATGCTGCACATTGAAGATGCAAGGGTTCATGACCGCGAAGAACGAGTGTGTGGGAAGAAACTTACCGTCGCCGCACCAACAACCCAGATCGCAGAGTCCAAAGTTCCAGAGTGCCAGATTTCTGGATTTCCTGATTTGATGACCCAGGGTCATGCGGTTTGCGTTGCGGAAATCCGGAAATCTGCGAACCGTCTTTTGGTACTTTCCATGGGCATTGCTCGTGGCATGAATAGGTGCCAAACCGTTTTCAGCTTGTTTCCGGTTTGAATCCGCGGTCCGACTCATTGACCAACATGCCTCTCTTGGAATTCTAATCTATGTCGCATTGGTCCTTTTCTTGTGCTGTATAATGCTTATGTTTTGGTTGAATCTCTGCACCGTACAATAGATAGTGGTTTAATGAAATCATCGAAACGGCCAAACCATGCGGATGATCATAGCTTCGATGGTCTGGATTTAGGACACGGCAGTGCAGTGCCAGGCTGGCAAATCCTTTGGACATCCGGGGTTTCGTAATTTGGTGATCTTAAGATCTTAGGATCTTAAGACTTACGGGTCCGGAGAGGATGTACGAACTCGGCCCCTGCAGTCATTTGAGATTTAGCAGTCCAAGAGTTCAAGGTTGACGGTTTGGAAGAGGTCCACCACAACCATCACCCCCGCCACGGACACACCACTGTTATGGAATTGGATGGAAAAACTCGCCGCCACATCATCGCTGCAATCACCCCGACTGCCGCTGCTCGTCAACCCCAACTCCCCCACCTCTCGAGCCCTACGTCGTGAAACACGAGGTACCGAAAGCCAGAAGTCCAGACCCCAAAACACCGAACCCCCGGAGCACATAACCCTGCACCACCGTGACCTCGACACCCCCTGAGCCTGAAGCCATCAAATGTCAAATCCATCGTTGAATCGAAGGCATCGCACATTTGTCGCATGGCGAAAGTGGTGAACAAACGAAGAGTCGCCCTTTGCTCGTGCCTCCTCATGCAGATCCATGGGCGATGGCTCCAAGCCAGGTTTAGAGTTTAGAGCTTCGCATCAAAGCCAAGCTCAAGCGTCTCAAGCGTGCAGCAGTGAAGAAACGAACTCCACCATCCGCAATGCTGTGACTATCAGGTCTAGGATGAGATGGCGATGACGAAGAAGAAAACGATGATAATGACCATGACAATGGCAATGATGATGATGATGATGATGATGCTGAGGATACGATGGCGAGATGGCGATGGCGATGCTGCTGCGGATGATGATGATGATCATCATCATGGGGGGGGGGGGCAAACAGTGGTGCTGATGCTGCCTGTAGTAAGGGCGATGGCAAGGCAGGTGATGACGGTGCTTGTGCTGTTGGTAATATTGGTATTGGTGACAATGGTGATGCTGATGATGATGATGATGATGCGTAGCGAGGGTGCGTGTCATTGCAGGCACAACAAGAACGCTCGGCCCTCTTTGACCTGCACTGACTCTTGGAGGTATGCTTCAGCCAACGGTAACGAGTTTGTACAGCTCGCGCTGCACATCTGCTTCGGTGGTGGACTTTGCGGCAATCAGCAGCTGCTGCAGTGCATCTGCGTAGGTTCGCCTGGGATCGTCGTCGACTATCCATAGCATCTTCAGCTTTTCCAGGACTTTCCGTTTTGGAAAGACTGGGTCCAGCAACAGCTTGACAAATAGGGACACGCAATTCTGACGCTCACGCACGCTGAGTGAGCGCAATACGATCACGAGAGTCTGGACGCACCTCCATATGTGCGACATGTTGTCCTGAATGCCTGACTGCACCAGAGAGCCCATGAGTTCCAACGCGGCTCCTGCAATACGTTGCTGCACGGAAGGCGCGGCATTGTAGGCATAGTTCATGACCACGAGTTGGGCGGAGGCAGCAACGGACGCATCTGCACTCAGGCAGTGCCGAAGCAAACTTTGGAGATTCTTGTCAACAGTGCATTGAGCGCGGCTTTCTGCACAATGGGTTTTGCGCTGGGCGAAGGCCTTGCACCAGCGCCGACCTCAGAATGAAAGCAGCTAGCAGACTCGGCTGAGTCAGTACGGGATTCAGGATGCTCCGACTGAAAGATTCGCAGATAACACTGAGCCTATAATGCTAAACCGGTCGAGAAGCAATGGTGGATCTTTTGCTCGGTATCGTCTCGAAAGGTTACAGTGCGCGGGGCATCTGGCGCTCTGCCCCTGCGCGGTAAACACTTCTTCACGAAGTCCACAACAGACGCGGGCCTGCCCGGCACAATTTGCAGCAGACATGACACCCGCATCGCGGCATACCGCTGACAAAGCCAGGCAGTGACTCTCAAACATTGGTTGATCGGAAACAATGCATACCCACGACTGACATGATTACGCAGTTACGCATGAGACACCGCAATGAGGGAGGGAGCGTCTACAGAAATGCATAACACAGCATGCTTTGCACCAGCAAGCACTACCTGGTGGGCATGTCAGAGCTGTGGACACCCGTGATTTCTACAGGCTGCCGCACACCTGTAGAATAGGAGCCTCAGAAAATTTCTTCCATTCATCTACTTGTCAAGAAGGCATTTGCGAATGGCAGGATGCTTGCTAGCCTCTATGCCAGGATTTTAGCTTGCCGAAGCGGTGGTTTTGACAACACGGACTCGGTTCGTGGAATGCACGAAGACCTTACCGCACCTCTCCATGCTGCCCATCTCGGCCACGTGCGCTATCAAGGCCTGCAAGCAGCTTAAGCGCATATGCAAGCGGCGATCTCTATTTACAAGCGAGGCAGTCGGCACGACGCGGTGGACTGACTACGGGCCTCGGAACTTCTGGTCTGGCGCGAAAGTTGGCACCAGTTCAGCAGATCTGTCACCTTTAGTGCGTTTCACTGCACAATAATGCACAGAGCATGACGAACAACCTCAACAAGATCCTGTCGGCATCGCTGCCGCAGGCCACTTCGCAACCAAGCTTCGCTGAGGTATGGCAACATGTCTGGCCTTAGGGCTTTTTGTCAGAGACGGTGCAGAGGATCTGTTCAAATCCCGGCAAGCAAGTGAAAAGCAGTGCCAGCAGGCCGATGATCATAGACCGAGATGCAGAAGGAGGTCGTAGGGAGCACACTCCCCATCTCCCTCGGAACGCACTCAGAACTCACTGTCGAAAGTTCGCTGGGAGGTCTTGAGCTTTAAACTTGGACTGGGTTGCTCCATCCTATCTTGGCAGCCAGTGTCGCTACGCAGCTCACTCCGTCACTAAGCACCCAGCTTTTGCGAAACACGTCGTCGCTGAGGTCTCCTGCAAGGAACTGCGGACCTGGGTTCATCTTGCCCGACTCCATTTGAAGCATCACTCTCATGCAGGTGTGTCACGGAACAGGCCATGGGCTTGTGGCAAGGGGCATCGCAGTCTTCAAAGTCCGTCTGGCAAGATGCGTCAACCCGATCATCTCGCGGACCGCAATCCTGCGACGAATCTCGTGATGAGGAGGACCTCGCTGGGCTCTGCCCGCATGATGAGCGAACGCATGATGAGCGAACAGCGACGACAACGACAGGTACGATGTCTACCATGTCAAGGCAGGTCGCTGAGACTGGTCGTCAGAGCTGATCTCGATGCTTCTCGGCAACTCAAGCACCGGAGAAGGTCCGCTGGGGGTCTCTGGGTCGTCTGTAGTCGTGAGATTGGGATTCACCTTGTCAAAGGACCACAACAGAGTCTTCAAGAATCCGCGCATGCCCAGACAAGGCAGCACATGAGATGCCACTCTCGTATAGTTCATCACAAGAAGTGGAGTTGCCCTATAGGACCCGTTGGACCGTTATGCGTCAGGTTACACGTGCATATTGCAGTTGCTTGCATGTCTCTTCACTGGCAACTCATTCTGGAAGCACCTCGGCCGCCGCGAAGGTATGGCTGCAAGCTGCACGGTCCTCACCAAGCTGATGCTCTTCATCACTGCCACCCTGGGAGGACAGCTGACACAGATTTTTCCGCTTTTCCGAGAACCCTGCGTAAGAAGCATTCGGAACCCGCCTCTGGAATAAAGACCCACTCTCCGTCTTCGGGGTCTTCATTGCAAGGCGGCCACTGCTCGAGGGGCAAGCAAGTGCAGCGACCACCGTCGGTGCCGTCGTCACTGTCACAGGCGCTCTCCTTGCTGTCGGTGCTGCCACAAACGGCGCTCTCGTCGCAGATGGAGCTTTCGCTACTGTGTGTGTTGCCACGGCTGGAGCTCTCGTTGTTGTCGAGGCTGCTGAAGGAGCTGCCGTACTCCGTATAGGACACACCGCCCGAGCTAGGCTGTTCTTCCGACCTGGGCGCGTCGACTTCTGTAAGCTTGGGCTGCGGGTGAAACCATGTCTCAGCTTCCCCGACCCTTCGTTGCTCAAAACACCAGTGATCAAAACGTGCAACCTGAAAACAACTGCTGTCAGTTCGCAACGGTGTCCTGAGTCTCCCCGTGAAACGCATCGAGTGCGCCCACAAAGCACAAGCAAGGCAGGACAAGAACAGTTGGTTGCACAGCGAAGCTAGCCAGAACCGCAAGCACCCTCATATCTTCCAACAAGGTGGCGGCACTGCAGCAAAAGGGCTCTCCTTGACTTGCACACTGCTTCTTTTCGGCAAGCTAGATGACTGCAGCAACTTACAGATTGCCTCTTGTTGGTACCTGCCGTGAGATCAACACCTGAAATGCCACGGACTGGATACGGACTTGCTGATTTCGACCAAACCTCCAAGGTAGAGCTTTTGTCTGCCATTCGAGCAGTGAGGCCGGTTCGCCCGGTAAAGGCTCGTTCTCTGGCAACTTCCACATTTCGTGCTTGCATGGAGAGGTCCATGTCTCTTTCGACTCCTATCTATCTTCTGGTGGATTTGGGGTTCAGCGTTGCCCTGCACACTACAGTTGTGCGTGCCGATTCGGTGTGAAGTCCGACATGGCCACTGGCAGAGCCACCACCCTGGCTTCTCTCTCTCTCTCTCTCGCTCGCTCTCGCTCGCTCTCGCTCTCTCGCTCTCGCTCTCTCTCTCTCTCTCTTTCTTTCTGCGGGGCGTAGGGGTCACTGTCGTGACCCTCAGGCTTTCAGCCCGCCCGTCCACCCCCTGTGTTAGTAAGTGGACGGCTTTGGGGTGTCACTGACCGCTGCACTTACTACGGAGTTTGTTCCAGAAGTCTGAGCTGTCACCCCCTCCCCGTCTCTCTCTCTCTCTCTCTCTCTTGCTTGCATTCGGGCAAAGACGGGAGTAACCCCCCCCCCCCCCGCGCACATGTGCGCACCGAGTTCGCTGTCTGTTGTGAGACACCTGCAGCTGAAGATGTGGCCTGATCCGGCAAACCCCCCGCTATTGAACCCTGTACCTGAACAAACCTTTCCGGCCTCCTCCCCCATATTGGGGCTGCTCACTTGCACTGTTGGGTGCTTGCTGCACCGGTGCTGTCAACTCTCGCAGAGCTGTGCTGCCGTTCCACAACCACCGTTCACAAAACACATACACAAAACACGTACACTTGTCCTACTTACACTGCGGCAACACACTGTGGGGCCCGGACCTGTGCACTGCACAACGGAACCCCCTATCGCTCTGCTCTGGCTTCTGGCCCCGGCCGTCAGGAAATGCCAACACTGCTAAAGCCATGCACACACTGCCTGTAACGCGAACCCCCTAGCAGGCCCTCCTAGTCACTCCCTGGGTGCCAAAAACCCCCACTTCTATCATACACAGCTGCGTGCATGCGCCTGCGGCGGTGACTGGCCGCCGAGCTCTCTCTCTCTCTCTCTCTCTCCCTCTCTCTCTCTGTCTCTCTCTCTCTCTCTCTCTGCTTTTGGCAGGGGAGCCCCTGCACGACGTGGAGCACTTTTCTGTGCTCTTTGCTTGCTTGCTTGCTTGCTTGCCTGCCTGCCTGCCTGCCTGCTTGCTTGCACGGCTGTGTGTTCTCTCTCTCTCTCTCTCTCTCTCGCTCTCTCGATCTGTCTGGCTCTCGCTCTCTCTCTCTCTCTCTCTCTCTCTCTCTCTCTCTCTCTCTCTCTCTCTCTCTCTCTACCGGGCGTGAAGACAGAGCAGCGTCCGGGCTCTGCCTTCGTGCGGTCTCGCACACCCGCGTTTCACGGGGTTTCAAAGGTCCTCATGAAGGTTATTCCTCCACAAGGCTCGGCTTTACACAAGGGTCCATGGGTTCCCCCGAAAACACTTAAAGCGCAAACAGCTGAATGTATCACAGGATTTGGGAGGTTCCCCCGACTTGTGCCACAGTTCGTTTTGAATCTAAACTAACTGCACATGCCCCCCACTACACAAATGCAAACCTGGTAGAACTGCGGAAAGCTGAGGCCCGGGCCAACCTTGCTAGCTGTGGGTCTGTTACAAAGCAGAACAATCACGACGACACTATATCAAATTAGACTCCCCGGCTAGTGGTTGGCTCAACTGTGCTACCTGGAGGGCATGTCCCCCCTGATTTCCGATGGGAGTGTGAAGAGGCAGTAGGGTATAAGGTAGTATCCCCCATCGGAATTCAGTAAGGGCCATGCTTTCCGTAAAGGGCGGCTTGGAGTCTGCGCCGTCTGTGGCTACCGCCATCGTCGTCGTCTTGACGACTTCTGGAGCGCTCCCTCTCAGTACTCGCCCCTCTCGAGTGTCCCCCGTCATGGTGTCCATGCCATGGGACGGTAGTCATGTCGCTCTCCGTCTGCGTAGGGAAGGTAGAGAGTTCCCCCGCTGCATTGACCGCAGCTTGTAGGCTTGGCGTCATTAGGGCCGCCATTTGAGGGGCAGTGAGAGCTCCCCCTTGGTCGGTGTGCTCCGGCTGGATCGTCACTTCCGTTGGGACGTCGCTTAGCTCCTCCGTGCTGTCCCCGGGGTTCATGTTCTCCGGGATGTAGTCCACTGGCTCTGTTGGCGCCAGTTGTGGGGTTTCCCCCGTTTGGGTGCTCTCAGTGACGGCGTGCACTCCCCCAAATATTGATTGGCGCCAGGCTTCTAGCGCGTGCAGCATCTCCACGATGGGTAGCAAAACGTGGTCCCCCACATGTGGGACTACGTTGCGCAGTCTGGTGGCTGCCCTGAGCAGCTGTGTAGTTGCCGACCCGGTCTGGCTCGAGCGAGCTGTCCACTCACCCTGTGCCTCCCCAGCCAAGCTGATAACATCAGCAGGATGGGCTTGTGTGGTGTCGGGCTCCATGGTGACTGCCTCCCCCCTCTTGGTAGCGAGAAGTGCGGCTGGAGCAAGGAGGTCATGTAGGGTGTTCCACCATGCCAGCGTATTCCAGGTACGATCTCCCCCCATGGTGGGAAGGATCACGTTGTCCACGCGGTTGTAGGCTTCTCGTAGGTGGTTGGCTGCTTTGCTTAGCGAAGTCTGCGGGACATCCCCCGGCATAGGTTCGCTCAGTTCCCCCAAGCCTGCTTCGATCATAGCACGAGGTTGGCTAAGGTCTGTAGCAAACTCTTCCGGGGTAAATCCTTCCCCCCGGCGCACTCGCATGGAGGCAACGAACCTGTATGCCTCGCTCACTCCCGAGGGTCCAGCAAACGCGGCGCCTGTCCCCCGTGGCTGTGAGTGGGGGAAGTTTTCTGCGTGACTGAGCATGCGTAGTGCTATGGCGCAGATGTTCGAGATGATCTCCCCATCGTGGTTTGCGAGGCCGTCGGCTATCTCGTGTATCATCTGTATCTGCCCCTTTTGTGCCGCTAGGCGTGCCTCTGCGTCGGGGTGGTCAGTGGAGCTCCTCGCCCCCACATCCGGTGGGGGGCTTTCATGTGGTACTCCCCGTGCAGTCCTGCGGCGCCCTTCTCGCAGTTGGTCCCGAAGCGGGGTGCGTCTCCGTCGGCGGATTAGGCCCACATTCTCCTCGTCCGTGGTCGTGCCGTTGAGCTCCCCCTCCGAGTTGTGTGAACACGCCGTCGGGGAGCTCGGTGTAGTTGAGGTAGTCGTCGTTGTAGTGATTATGTACCCTTGCATCAGCTCGGCGGCATCGTGCTCTCCCCCTCTGTGTGGTGCGGGGCTTGGGTTGGCAAACCGACCATCACGTATTTGATGGAACCATGGTGTGGGCGTCGGTGGCTGTGGCTGCGTCTGTGCTGCCGCTTGTTGTGCTTCCTGACTGGATCGTCTAAGTGTGCGACCGTCCGACAGTGGATGTCTCGGCTGGGCTTGTTGTTGTGGTGGTGGCTGTGGTTGTTCCGGTTCCGGTTCTGCTGGTCCCGCGTGCTCTTCTGCCTGTGTTGGTGGTGGCTGTCCCCCTTCTGCTGGTGCTTCATGTTGGCTCTCTCTCTCTCTCTCTCTTTCTTTCTTTCTCTCTCTCTCTCTCTCTCTCTCTCTCTCTCTCTCTCTCTCTCTCTTTCCATCTCCGTAGCTCTGTCGCTGTCTGTCTCTCTCTCTCTCTCTCTCTCTCTCGTGCCCGTACTTGTCGATCTTCCTTTGATCTCGCGTCCGGCTCGCATCTAACGTGGCACGACACCTGCAACCGGGGCACGTGTCTTGCCAACGGCATGGCTGGATGAGCCAACTGGTGAGCTCCTCCAGCTGCTGGTTGGCGCTACAAAGCCTCAGATTTGGTCATCCAACCCCCCGGGACCAGCCACCAGAGCTAAAGCTGGACACAGCCGGGTCACTCCCACGTGAATTTGTCGCTGTGCAGCATCACGAACGTCAGGTTGTAGTGAAGCATGCAATTGGCTGCGGTCATTGCCTGCAGCTGCATCTCCATGTCAAGCCGCCTTGGATGCTTCCAGCACCTACAAAACACGAAAAACAGCGCACCCCATCCCGGAGGCTGGGATTGCTCAGGGCCCTGCTGACGTCTTTCCTCGTAGAACCTGAACAAGGCGCGTGCCGATTGCAAGAGCTGCGCCTTGCGACTGGATCCCATTACCCTGATGGCGCCTGCCCTCCAGCCTTGCTATGAATTTAACGACATCGTTCATGTCGCTGCAACCGATCACATACTGGGCATCATCGAGCTTGTGCCTCAACGGTGTCGTTGAGAGACCGTTGGGATGCATAGCACGGAATATGCAACTGGTAACCATCAACATGTGTGCAGACAAGCTGCTTCGCTGATGAACCGTGGAGGTGCCTGAGACACGGAAACTCGCGCAGCTGTTGCAGTGGCACAACGGACTGCTGCACCTTGGCATGCTCTGGTTTGAACTCTTGGGGCCGGGCTCCAACACATGGAGAAAGTCATCCAAGGTGTTTCGCGATCTGGCTCGAAAGCAGGCACTTGCCAGTCCGCTTCCACAAGTTGACATGGGGAAGAGTGTGGGAAGCGCACTCGTTGCTCAGACTATGCCGCCCCTTTTGTGCAGCCGCGATGCCTCTCTGAATGAGCCTTGCTGCTACCATCCTTCCAACAGAACAAGAGGTGTTTCCAAGAAAGCCAACCTATATAGATTCAGCTGTCCTCTGGATCGGATGCATCGAGCTCATCACTTGAACGACTGTTCGTGCGCCTCAGCGACGAATGCATGGAACAACACGGCACAGAAGCGAGGGGCCCGGAGACACCGAGGATGCAAGAACTCCCCATGCCCCCCTTGCACCAAGGCACAACAGTTGTTCTCCGCTCGGAAGCATTTTGGAATGGTTCCGCCGCTGCTGCTTACGACGACGCATGGCTGATGGGAGGAGCCTCGCTGGCTCACTGACCCGTAGGTCCTGGGTGATTTGGAAACAAACGTCCTACAGATTTATACGCTTTTGTGCCGACAACATGACCCGAATGCTGCGAAAGGAAGGCCATCTCTACTGGCGTTTAGCTGCGATGATTTGCGAGCCTTGCAAGCACCGGCGTGGAGCAACGGGAGTTGTTCTGCGCAACAGCATTTGGCTTCCGGCACCGGCTCGATCTGCCAACAGAAAACGACCCACGATCACATAAGATAACTCAGCCTGCAACTTCCTCAACAATACGAGGGCATATGAGGGCACTTTTATCGCGGTTTCTCGAGGTGAAACAGGGATGCGCAGACAGCAGGTCTAAATTGATAACCCTAAGCTTTAATTTGAACCTTAAAGGAATTCTCCTTCGTCATGGCCGCACCGGCCCCTACTGCATGAACTTCATGCGGGACCCAACTGCCCTAATTTCCCTCGAAAGGAGAGTTTGGGTTTTGGATTTAAGACAGCTTCTTTACATATACACACACATGTTTTGTGCAGAGCCTAGCAGGCCTAGCATTCAGCAGATGGGGTGTTGAGGTGCATGCTGAGAGAGGGGCCCGAAGGTTCGGGTGCTGGAATCTGAAGTTTTCGGCTGTTATGGGGCTGCGGCCACTTTCCAGCTTTGTGCTGCATCCTTGGACACAGGATTAGGTGCCATGACTCAAACATATACCGGTGATAATTCCTCGCAACACTTTTCTCTGAGGTTGCTGCCACGTGTTTGCCTTGTTTCGGCTTCCAAAGATTTTTCTTCTTGATCCCACCCTTTCGCTTGACCGTGGTCCTTTGCCTGGTGTGTTGGCCGTCTTCACACAAGGGCAAGGGAATGGGCTGCAGTGCCTGAGGATGTTGGGGTGCGTCGGGAGGGGGTCTCTGATGAAAAACTCTGAGCTCCTAGTATCCTGAAGGCTGCCGGCAAGACTTCAAACTATGAGACCCTGCATGCCAAGAACGCTTCGCAAGACACAGTCCTTGCAAACTCAATCCTACATCACGACATGCCGTGCCTTAGCAGAAAATACGATGCGTAAGTCAGGGAATCAGCGCACCAACCCCCTCCCCCAATTCCTAAACATCCTCGAACCCTAAACCCCCACCCAAAACCACATCTCTCAATGACCCAAAGCCCAAATCCCACTATAGGAGCGTGACTAATCATTCATAGTATTCCTTTAGAGACTACATGCATCTATGTATGTATATATATATATGTATATACATACACGCTCATCATACATAGGTATGTATGTGTGTGTTTATATATCTATATATATACACATAAAAATCCAATATATACCACAAAAACACAATCCAAGTCTTAAAGCCACTGGATGAAACAGCCCGTTAAAGCCGTAGAAAACCTTATGAACACCATCTTCAAAACGCTTTCTCGCTCGGCGCATATCAAAGGCTGATCGCTGCGCTGGTGGCAAGTTGCGCGGGGAAGCCCTGTCGAATATCAGGGGCCTAGGGTTTACGGTGAAACGGCCTAAAAGATTAGAGACGCGGCTTTAGTAGGCTTTACTAGCATTCCGATAGGGTTTGCATGAGCTTTGATGAACCTAGTAAGGTTTTCATAAGTGTCTTAATGGTTCAATATAAGGACGTGAACAGTTAGAACAACGCTTTGGGGCATGTTATACTTGAGCACTTGTATCGCGACTACAAGGAAGGGTATTTCTAGGTATTCGAGCCAGTACATTGATGTCGGGGCTACAGCCGGGGTCGTATCTAGATACCTGAAGTGACCATACCCTAAAACCTTAAACCGGATGAGCTTTCCCAGTGATAAGCCCAAGCGCCTGAATCCATGTTTTGCGATTCCGGCTATAAGAACGCTGTCCAGTTCTGTATATCCTGAGCTGTATGGCCTGAAAACCCTTCACCCTAAACCTTCACGTCTATACTATAGGGGCCTTAATTATTAGAAACGGGTTTAGGGGCCCATTGAAATTATAATAAGGAACACCCAAACAGTATTGGTAATCATTTAGGCCCCTATATTACCCTAAAGCCATCATCAGCCTTCAGTCCTGAACCAGAATCTGAAGCCTAGCGCCCTCCACCAACCACAAAGCTGCGGCTATCGGGAGTGCATCCTAGGGTTTAATATGGCGGCACAAAACCTCGTGCCGAATTCAGCTAACTACACATGAAAGCAGGCAGCATCTATAGTGCATAAACCCGACATCCCAACCCCTAATTCCCAAACTCTCTAAACCCAAGCCCCTAAACAAACCCCCTCAACCCCCTAAGCCCCTTAACCTCAACCCCCAACCTTAAACCCCCCAAAGCTTAACGCCTTCACCCTAAGTTCTCGTCGGCAGGATCTCCCCCCGGACTTCAACGCTCGGGTGAGGCAGCCGAGATTCGGCCGCCCGGGTTTGGAGCAGTGACCAAACGACCCACCCACCTCCTTGAAGGTTAAAGTATCGAAAGAGTTCTACTAGGGTTCTTTTGGGTTCTACGGGAGTTTCGAGATTCTAGGTTTTAGGGTTTAGGGTCTGGGTCGAGGGTCTGGGGTTTTAGGCTTTGGTTTTCGGGCACAGGGTCTACGGTCTGGGGTTTAGGGCTTTTGTTTGAGGGTTTAGGGTTTAATGTTTGTGTACCCCATGCATCATGAATGGGGTTCTACGGTTTGGAATACTGTCCACATAGACCCTGTAGATCTTCAAATACTCCACGCCATATCTTTGAAGCGGGAATGTCGGGGGTGTGAGCCAAATATTAGACGAGGCGCGACCTAGGACAGGCCGACCAAATGACATGCCGAGATACCAACATCAGTGGAAAGATTGAGGGTTTAGGGCTCAGGGAATGCCAAGGAGAGGTTGCAAAGACCGCACCCCAAAACCAAAACCCGAAGCCAAAAAATCCCAAACCCATAAACTGCAAAGCCTAGACCTCTACACCCCAAACCCTTTGATTCGTAATTTAGAATACCAGAATACAATATATATATATATATAGCGTAATGTCATATATTGTGAAAATTTAGCAAAGTATAGTATAACGTGCCATAACGTGATATAATGTGGTATAGGTGGTTCTCTAAATTAGGGTCCCTTTAAGGGGTCCTTTTAACAAGAGTGCCGTAATATTGGGTACCCAAAACGGGACCCTAATTTAGACAACCACCCATATAGATGCTGCGGCCAGTATTGCAAGGAGTCGTTTGGGCCAGTCGGCGTCGATGCCGGAGAAGCGAAGACCGGCGAAGTTCGCTTGAGGAACTTGGGTTTAGGTTTTTTTGGAGGGGAGGGGCGGGGAGGGGGCTAGGGGTTAGGGTTTAGCGTTTAAGCTTTGGGGTTTAGGGTTGTTTATGGTTTCGGGGCGGGCTTCGAAGATTTCGGGGTTTCAGGGTTTCGGGCGCATGGCTTCGGCTTTGGGGGTAGGATTCAGGGTGGTTGTTTGGATGGCTTCCGGTTGCGGGGTTCGGGCTTGGGTGTCTTCGGGCTGATGGCTGAGAAATCGTTGTCTTACAGTTTAGTGTATAGCATACACGAATCATTGTATTGTCGGGGCAGTGGGTGTGGAAACTAATCAGTGGTAGGACTGACTACGTCACGTCAACGCCTGTCCAGGAATCAGCAGGGTAAGAAAATATCAACTGCAAGCAGGAGTGGCGCAGAGTTACAAATCCTGGATCGACACATCTTAAACTCTAAACCTGAAACGCTATACTGTACCTCTATACTCCAAACCCTGGCCAACAAACTCTAAACTCTGACCCTCAAACAATAAACCCAAAACTCTAAACCCTAAGCCCTGAACCCTAAGAGCCACCACCTATTGCTGCTATGCTTACTACGCTTGGTTCGCTTTTGGAAGCTGATTTGGCTTTGAAACAGAAGATCTGTCACAGTCTCCGAAAGATCATGGATGAGTACCCCTGACTGAAGACGCGGTTGGTTTCACTGATTTTTTGTTTAGTCTGGCCCTGGCCCTTTCTCTGTCTGCCTAGTGTGGTGGCACAGTCACGTCGCCTACGACCGGACTTTGCCATGCCAAGGGAGGAACCCAAGACCCTAAGCCCTAAACTCT